GTAATTGATTCTACCCGGTCCTGTTAGGCTCTGCTGAACTCTTTTATCCATAGCCAGACTATGGTGAAAGACCATACCCCATGCTTCTTTCTAGGCATCTTGCTTCTGTCTCAGAGTTGCTAAAAGAATACTTGATTATTTGTTTATTCACAGTGTGACAACTGCAAGCACTACCCAGCCCAACAACCGTTTACCCACCACCTTCTCAGGACTAACAACAACTATAGTGTGCAGTGTTTTTCAATTTCCATGTAGACACACTCCTATCATGGCCAAGTTCAACTTACGGGGCAGCGGGGAGAGATGCGACAGCACAGTCCGTGGTGTTTCTACCTTGAAAGGTAGACAAAAGTGAGTCGTGATCCAGATACAGAGCAAGCAAGATGTGACTGCCTCGCCAATAAAGGGACCAAGCCATGTGGCTAACATAGAAAAAAAAAAATAATGGGCTTATATAAGTGAGTTAACAACAAGCCTGAGCTAATGGGCCAATCAGTTTATAACTAATGTAGACCTCTGTGATTTCTTTGGGACTTAATAACTGTGGGAACTGGGCAGGACAGAAACCTCAGACAACAGAACGGCACACGAGGACAACTGCGTCCACATAAAGCCTGAGCGAGCTTGGGAAGTAATTCTAAACAGAAAAGAATAGAGCAAAGCATGGCTTATTAATAGCAGCACTTTCTCGGATGGGCTCTGCTCCTTGAAAAAAAAAGTGTCCTTGAGAGCAGTGGAATTAATAGACTATAAAATCACAATGCAGCATAAAATTCTGAGTGCTTAATCATCTTTGGACTTAGAATCCATTGTGTTTAATTTTAAACCATTGCTGCATTTAACATCTTACTCTTAACATTCCTAGAAATTGAACACAGAATCCCAAGGAGCCGAGAATAACACTTCAGTATCAGTCTATAGAAATGGTTCTGGAAAGAAGGAGTTCTGGCTACGTCGATCCCTTCCTCTGTTCTCCCCACATCTGCCGCAGGCACACAGAGGACCTGCCACCTTGCTCTTCGGTCCACCCTACATCTGGGTGGGGCTGTCTCAGGAATTCTTAACTGCTCTCCTGGATCACTTTCTTCCCAAGTCTACCAGCAAATTGCTGTGGCCGTCCATAAGTACCGTTATGGACATGCTTGCTGACCAAGTCCAAAACCCAGAACACCTCAGCACAAAACCCCAGCTCTCAGCAGTTCAGGGCATTTGCTGCTCTTGCAGAGGACCCGACTTCCTGGCATCCATGGCCAGCAAGTTGCAATGTCTGCAACTACAGTTCCAGGTGACCTCACTGCCTCTTCCGACCTCCATGGGCACCGAAACATGGGTGGCACCAGTTCATGGACTGGAGTCCCAAACTGCATAGAAACGAGTAAGGGAGCTGAGCGCTAGCATCTTTGACTCTCTGCTTCCTGACTGTGGACGCCATACAACCAGCTGCCTCCAGTTCCATGACATCGAGACTCCCCACCATGACAGCCTGCTCCTCAACCCCAAATAAGGCCCTCCTCCCTCAAGTGGCTTCTGCCAGGTATTTTGTCACACAAATAAAAAAGGTAAGTGGTGTATGCAAATATCTTACTAATGGAAAGGTCTGTATTGCTACCATGAATGAGGGTTTTATATTTATTTATCTTGGGTCTCCAATGTAAAGCAAACTGAAGTTTGCTGAATTTATTCCTCTTCCTTCTATTGCTGGAACATTTGAGAGCTTTATTGCATCTTATTGCTAACCTTCCTCAAATGTGTCATAAGGCTGTTACTTTCCATGACTCATTTTTAAAACAGACAAATATAAATATTACTGACTCTTGAAAGAGATTTTAAAAGTAGGGACTGGAGAGATGGTTTAGTGGTTTAGGGCATTGGCTGTTCTTCCAGAGGTCTTGAGTTCAATTCCTAGCACCCACGTGGCAGTTTATAACTGTCTGTAACTCCAATTCCAGGGGATATAACACCTTCACACCAATGCACATAAAATAATAATAAATTTTTTTAAAGAGAATTTAAAAGTAAGGAGGACATACTCCTTACTGGCCGCTGAACCCAGGTAATCTAAGCAAGACTGTTCTGTCATATAACCAGAATGGCAGGAGATGGGGAGGGCTAGACACAGAGGCAACAGATGCTAATGCTCTGGAAGAGCTTAAGGACAATAACAGGCCAGTGCCCAGGAGTTGGCCACTTAGACACCCTCTGTTAAAGGAACTCTCAAGCCAGAGCAATGGCCTACATTCTACCACTAGCCTCTGTCTGGGAAACAATTCCAGGCCCACCCCCTGAGGGAAAGAAGATCTGAAGACCCCAATCAGCCTAAGACATTTTCACTGGTTCTTTGATGTCATCCTGGATCCATATCAACTGAGGGCTATAGCCACGGGGACCACAGACCAGATAAAATTCAAGCCTTATTTAAATACAGCATTTGGCCTCTTCCTGGACCAACTTGGCTTGTATTCTATGACAAAGAAATAAAATAACATTCTTTATTTCTAGAGGCCGATCCAGTTGGTAGTCCTTGCCCAGAGTATACAAGGCTTTGGGCTTAGTCCCCAAGTCACATAAACCAGGTAAGATGACACACACCTGTAATGCTAGCACTAAGGAGGTAAAAGCAGGAGGATCAGAAGTTCAAGGTCATTATTTTCAACACAGTAAGGTCAAGGCCATTCTGAGTCACAGAAGACCCTGTAAGAATTAATAATGAAGATGATAATGATAAAATAATCACTTCTAATCATTCCTACTCACTAAATACATGATCATTTTATTTATAGAAGACTCACAGGTTCCCTGAGTCCTTGGACCTAGGAAGAAAACATCATATTAAGAAATAACTAGCAGGACTAGAGAGACGGCTCAGAGATAAGAGAACTGACTATTCTACCAGAGGTCCTGAGTTCAATTCCCAGCAAACACAGTAGCTCACAAACATCTATAATAAGTTATACTACCTTCTTTGGGCTTGCAGGCATGTATGTAGGCAGAATACTGTATAAATAATAAATAAATCTTTTAAAAATCAAAAAGAAATAACTAAAATTTTAAACAATTTTTGGTAATGTAGCTTAGTGGTAGAAGTCTTGCCTAACATACTCAAGGTTCTGAATTTCACCTCAGCACACACACACAAACCACACACGCACACGCACACCACACACACACACATACACACACACACAGAACAAAATTCAAATAACATTGCTCAAAAGTAAAATATAACTAAAGAAGAGAGATAGTCCTGGATAACAATTAAATAAATAAATAGGTGGATAAATAAATAATAAATTGCTCAAAACATAAGATAAATAGTATTAGTTCATACCATATAAATATAAGTAATTAATATAAATAAATTAAGTAATAAATAAGTGAATGAATTCAAAGACAAATTTTCTATGCTCAATAATTTCAAATGTTAGTCGCTACCCTCCTTCCTAAAAAGTGTCTCGTAACAACCTGCACCCAAACTATAACTGCTCTCACAAGATATGTGCGCCGTTGGCAGGGCAGAGGAAATTTAGCTTCATAATAGAAATAGCTACAAACATGTCCTCAGCCAGCGATCAAGGCGAATGTCACACGTAAGTTGTCTGATCGTGAAGTCAAGGGAATGGCATCTCACCTCTGTGGTTTCCCTCGCCTAACCCATAATCCCAGTCCGTTCATAAGAAATCATCAAGAAACCCAAATGACAGACATTCAACAAAACAGCCAATCAGTGCTCCTCAAAACTGCCAAGGTCATCAGAAACAAGGGACGCGCTAGGCAGAGAGCCAGCACAGCGCTGAAGCATTAGTGCTAAATCGCAAACTCTGAGGTGACGTCCTAGATAGGATAGACGGAGCAAAAGCCAATTAGGAGCAAATGAATTCTGAATAAAGCACGAACTTTAGTTAGTAATGAGACACAGCATTGCAGATGCACCTTAGACAGAGGAGCCATGCATATGTGGCCCAATAAAGTCCTTCACCCATCTATCCAGAGAAGCCAAAGGCTGACACCCTAGTGTCCCTTTGGGGACATTCTGTATCACCTCCATACCTCTTCTGTAGATCTAAAACAAACACAATTTTTATGTATATAAAACTGGGGTTTAAAACATACTTTACACATTATTATTGTGCGTATGAGGTCCCTTCCCACTGTATCCCGGAATGGGCAATGATCCCACTTGGTTTAATCACCTCCCACAGATGTCAGTTCATATCACCATAGCGTTGAGGGTGGAGATTTTAACACATCAGTTTTAGGGAAAAATAAATATTGAGATCATAATATTGTTTGAAGACTGCTATCAAGGAAAACCATATCCTACTAGCAGATCAAAATGCCAGCCGACTTCAGGTGACCTGGCACTGTTCTCCTCCACAGTCCAGTCCTGGTTCGAATGGATGCACACAGGTATACCCAGCTTCCTGATGTCACAGCACTGGCATGGTGTCATCGTCTACGGACTCCACTACTGAGAACTGCACCGTCAGGTTAGAAAAATCTTTCCTGCTTCAAGTAATTTTACAGCATATCTCTTCCCAGCCACATGCAGGCCACAAGGTTTAGACATGCCTGCAAGCCCTGGGATGTCAAGCACTGAGCCGCAAGAATCACTTCCTAGACTCACTAGCCCCACTGAGTGTTCTCAAAGACTCTGTGCTTGGGAGATATCCCAATGCCAGCATGAGCATGGACCCCTATGAATGCATGGTGAAGGCTTTAATTGTAATCTATTAACCTTGTTTGCAACCGATTTGCAGAAATTGCCTCACTGTTAGCCAACCTGATCCTGTTTCCTCCACTCAGGTGAGTCAGGACACACATCACCAACACACGCTTCCAGCCTCCCGGTAGTTCATAGAGTAGGAGACGGCTTCCTCGCCTGGAGCATCCCAACCAAAATCTACTGTTAGGAGACGAAAATGGGAGAGGCCTCCAAGTCTGCCACACTTGCCTCACACTGATTCCAGTTGGCTCGCTCCCTCCCCTCACAGATGACTCACCTGCAGGACAAACAGGAGCTGCAGAATCAAGTCCCTGTGGCTTTTCCGAAAATGAAAGAAGACATTCACAAAGGAAGTTCCAGGCTTTCTTTCTTGTCTGTCGACAGTAGTACTTGTTCCAGATGTCAGAGGTTTCTCAGCACGGAGCATCTGTGGGAGAGCAGAGCAGAGGGGTGAGAGAAACAGAGGAGTAACTTGGGAACCCAGGCTTGAGACCAATATTGGGAGCGTTTGAGGAAATGCAGGCAGGTTCCTCTAACAAGCAGCTAATGGACCCCGACTGTACACCAGGCACACCTGCTCTCCCAGCTCAGGGCCCTGTCTGGGTAGAAGAGGCTGCCATTAAGGTAACCCAAGGCAAAATGGAAGAACCAGGCCCAATGGAATGGAAGCAGGGAGTGCCATACATAATATGCCTGGAGTGCAGACAGATGCTTACTAACCAGGTGGGGGAGGGGAAGGGAGGGGAGGGGAGGGCGGCCTAGCCTGGTGTCTGCCTGTTTCCAGGATGTACCTATTCCCACCATAGCTATTCTTAAGCTACCAGTTTTACATCACTACCGACCATGCAGCTTGGAAAGACAGACGTAGTGCTTACAGCATTTCTACTACACAAAAACAGCACCTATAAATAATTTCCAAAGAACAGAAGGCAGTGAGTGCAGCAGCCAGCGAAAGATGAGTTTTCAGAGGTTGTAGTCTTTGTTGTCAATATAATTTATTTGATGTAAATTTGGGAAATTTTAAATTCAGAAATTCTGATTTTTTTTTTAATGTTTACGGGTGTTTTGTCTGTATGCGTGTCCACAGACTATGTGTATCCAGTGCCCATGGAAGCAGAAGAGTGCACTGGATCCTGGGGAACTGGAGTTACAGGCAGTTGTGAGCTGCCTTGTGGGTGCTGGGAATCAAAGCCAGGTTCTCTAGAACAGCAGCCACTGCTCCTAACTTCTCAGCCATCTCACCAGCCCCAGAAATCCTGACTTTTCATAATGACATGCTTGTCACAGTTAGTTCAGCAAATTCCTGAGAAATACAAAAACCAGCTCCCAGAACGAATCAATTCTATCAGTTACAAAATCTTCAAAACTATTATTGTAAATTGGGATGTGGGGATACATCTGTAATTTCAGCACTTGGGAGGTGGAAGCAGGGGACTCAGGAATGTGAAGTCATTCTTAGCTACCCAGTGAGTTCAAGGCCCATGTGGATTATATGAGACCCTGTGTCAAAAAATAAAAAAATTATTATTATAAAATATTGTAATAAATATGTTCTTCTATATAAACATTTTTAATTCCTTTAAATATTTCCATTTATACTTCCTAAATCAAAATACTTGCCTATATTAATCGTACTGCCATGTTTCTTTGTGAAATGATCATACGGATTCCGTTCTGCCATGACATATTAGAGTGGTTCCTTTTGGCATTTAGATTTATTGACTCTAAGATGAAATCATATTTATTTGTTCTGTTCTAGAGGAGGGAGGATTCTGGTGCTGGTGACTGAGCCTAGGGCTACATGGATGCAAGGCTTATGGCGTGGGTGCGACCTTCACTCCTGCCCCACACCCCCACTCCTGCTCCCCAGCCCCATCCCGCCCCCCCAGCCTCACTCCTGCCCCCGCCCCCACTCCTGCCCCACACCCCCACCCCAGCCCCTGGAATTCTGAACCCAGGTGGATGCAAAGGCTTGGCCTTCCCCTTGTTACAGTACAGTCAGGAAGACAAGACGTGGAGAAGCGGCAGGACACCCAACACCCTTCTTCACTGTATGACACGCACCACACACACGACACAATTTTAAATGCTGTAAGGAAGTAAGAAGTGGATATTGCCGGGGGCATTCTTCTCATGAAGCTGCAGAATATGAAGAGAGTCTTCTCAACATAACGTGAGCTGGCTCACTCTTACATCCATAGTGCACCCTCCTGTTTTATAACTCTTGAAACATTTGAAAAATGCATGTCCATATGAACACACATTGAAAAACCCCAACATCTGAGAGACAGAAATAAGAGGACAACCTGGACAACAGAATGAGAGTCTGTCTCCAAAGCGGCAACTGTGAGGACCTGGCTTTGCAAACTTCATTGTAAGCAAGGGGCTTCATCTTAAATCGTATAATGAGCAGGGGCCGATGGCAGCTCCAGAAATGTGCTGCCATAGCAGAATTTGGATGGATACCCTGAAAATGGCCAGTTAAAGAACTAGGGAGCAGGGCCATAAAATGTAACGAGGTCCAGATGTTCCTAGGAGGCATCTGTCCTTGAAGACACCTTGCAGTTATTAATGGTCCTTTGATAGGTTTTTTTGCACCCCAAAACTGACCAATAATTTCAGGAACTATCTTACCCTATGCCCTCCTTACCCAATCCCAAGACGACAGGACATGAACTCCCCTGATTATGGTCTTTCCCCTTTAAAGGCACTTTCTCACCTACTGCATTACTGTGCTGGAGGTGTGGTCTAAACTCGAGTTTGAATAGTAAAAACCCTCTTGAGTTTATCATTGGAATTTGGTCCCTTGGAGTTTCTTTTTGGGGGACAATTAACTTGGGCATAACACAGCAACGAAAAGAACAAACTACCTAGCTAATGTCAACATACATACCCTAAAATTGGAATTATCAGAAGCACGCGGTTCCTATCTTCAGTGTGACCAGTTCTGCCACCAGAAGACTCCCTGACTCCCACTATGAGTGTCTCATGGAACCCCACTCTCACCTACACACAGCTGACTCCTGCTGAGTGCCTACCCCAGTGTGACCCCATTCTCATAGAACCCCAGCTCTCACCTACACCCAGCTGATTCCTGCTGAGTGCCTACCCCAGTGTGGCCCCATTCTCATAGAACCCCACTCTCAGCTACACACAGCTGATTCCTGCTGAATGCCTACCCCATGGGGCCACATTCTCATAGAACCCCACTCTCACCTA